CCTCCCTGGTGCTGGTCCTGGCCCCGCTGACCCCGCCCCCCTCCGGCCCGTCCAGGTCCTCGTAGGGCCCCCCGTAGAAGTCCTGCTCGGGGCAGGTGGTGGTGGAGGAGCGGCAGGAGGTGGAGTTGTCCGGCAGCGAGATCTCGCAGGAGGAGGTGGACCAGGTGGCGCTGTCCACGCTCTGCTTGTCCTCCGAACCGCCGCCGCCGCCGCCGTTCAGGCACGCGCTCGCCGTCCGGACCAGGTTCTGCTGGTTCAGCTGGACGTTGTCGTAGGTGGACAGCCGGTTCTGATTGGCCGTCTGGCCGCCGCCGTCCCGCGTCCGGCCGGCCTCCCGGAGCAGGACGCAGCCGTTCTGGACCCACGGCGCCGGGCGCCCGCCGGGGCTCCCGGGGACGACCACGCCATTCCCGGGGGGGCTGGCCCCGCCCCCCCCCGCCCGCCACGCCCCCCGTGCCCATCTTGGTGCCTTTGAGGCCGCCGCCCCTCCGCACGGGCGCGCCCCCGACAACGGTCAGGCCCTTCTCCAGGGCCGAATCCGAGGATGGCGAGGAGCTGAAGGAGCCGTTGGTGACGATGCCGCTGCCCTTGCTGAAGGCCGGGTTCTTCTTCACGGTCAGCGGCGGGCTGCGGGCGGCGTCCGGGCGCCGCCGGGGGCTCCCCGGGCGCGGCGAGCCGCCGTTGTCCAGCTGCTGCCCGCGGCGACGGCCGGCGGGCGACCCGGGCGCCTCCCACACGCACTGCCGAGGGGGGTGCGTGTGGTTGTTGTTGTTCTCGGCGTTCTGGGACGCCGTGTTGTTGTTGTTGGCGAGCTCCAGCGCCGTGGGGCTGTCCTCCTCGCCGTTGCCGGGGAAAAGCACGTCATGGCGGCCAATCAAAACGGCCATGAGCTGCTGGACCAGGACGGTTCCTGAAACGCAGAGACACACCCGAACGGCGCCGTCAGGCGAGAAAAAGAGACAAAAAACAAAACAAACGCTCCTCAGACGCTAAGCAGAACAAACCTTCCATTATCGTTACGGGATCCTCCATCTTGGGCCTCAGGATGTTGGGCCCAAACACGGTGGCCAGGTTCTGGACGCTCATTTTATTCACTCCTGAATACGACTGCACTTCATCCAGAAATCTTTTTTAAAAAAAGAGGAAAAAAGGAGGGAAAGATTTTAGAGATTTTTTCAGTTTGAACTGCATCCATCTGGACCTGGAACCAGTACCTGCAGATGTACTTGAGGAGGTTGTAGTTGACTGGAGGTAGACTTTCCACCAGCCTCTGGAGCTCCTTCACGCCCTGCAGAAGAACCGGGTCAGTGACAATGGCGGAAATATCTCCATATATCTATAATATTAGTTTTGTTCATAAGGCTGAAAACAGCAACTTGTCTTCCATAATTTAGGCCCATTCTCTATTGGAAAGACTTTTAGTTTCCACAGAAACAAACTCATTAAAAGGATCAGATCAGCCATCTGATGTGCACTTAGAGGCAGGATTTGTCTGGAACATCCAACCAAACCAGGTTTTACTTGACTAACTCTGAAATAGTTTAAACAAAGAAGTCGGTTCCTTCTTTATTTCAAAGGCTCTGAATTCTTTCAAAAAGAAAAAGGGGGGTCGTTTAAACAAAAACCTGCCGCAGTTGTGGATGCACGTTCATGCATATGAACAAAAACAGAAGCTCTATGAAGGCTAATGAAGGGCAGAATGCTTTGGACGCTGTGACCCCTATGCTGGGCAGAAATATGTCCAGCAGAAACCCCTCTCCTGCGTTAGAAACTGGCACACTAAAGGCATTGTGTGGAGACACAGTCAAGCAGATCGGGGACCAGATCTGTGCCACAAAACAAGACTTATGGGGTTGTCCAGGAAATGTGCTGCAAGATAAACTAAAATCACGGGTTTTAGGAGGGAAATACTATAAATTTAAAACTGTAAACTGTAAATTTATCTGCACACTTCACTTTTAATCTATTTAAACAAAGATTGTTTCATTTTGTTGAGCTCATTTTTATTTATTTTCTGCTTTTAAACTCTTTGGAATAGTAGAAATTCTTATTTTTACTGCGTAAATGTAAATTTCCTCCTAATTGGACACATTTGTGGGGAAAAGTGAGCTTTTCCCATTGAATTTTTTGTTTTTGTTGAACCCTGCAGAGGCAAAGCGTGCGATTGGAAATTAGGAGGAAGAGTCCCTGGTCTCTTACCGTTTCGTCGTCTTTGGCGAGGAGCTTGGCGCAGGCCAGGAATTCTTCATACTTTTGGAACGGGATGACGGGCTCTGGCAGCTCTCTGAGGTAGAGCTTGAGCAGGGAGGCCACCGTGTGCACGTCCGTGTTACTGTGGACGGAGAAAAGACGGCGATATCGTCATTTTTCATGGAAACAAAATACTTTTTTCAATTAATTATTAGCTTTTTTTAATTAAAAGCTGCTAATAAATAAGAACAAGAAGAGCTTTAAACTGTTAAATCTGAGCCCAGAGAGAGAGGGAGGATCGGGAAAATGAAAGGCTAGCAATTACAGAGAGTTTGAAAAGATTTACAGTATCTGAGAGGATGAAAAATACCAGCCCTCGCTTTGGGAGATGCACCAAAAGGCAAAAATGGTTTCCAACTTGTGGACCGAGGCTGGACGGAGCCAAGAGGGAGCAGCTGGTGAGACAGACAGGGGGCTATAAGGGCTAATGGGAAAGGTGAGGGCCACTTCTTGGAGGAGGAGGAGGAGGAGGAGGAGGAATTTGTAGCTACTGCCTTCGCGAAGAAGATTAAAGAAGGTAGAAATGTGCAGCTGACATTGAGGTTGCACTAAGTGAGATTTTATACTCCATGTTCACGGGAGGTGGCGAGCTGTTGATTTACAGCCTGGATACAGAAAGTCCAGGCCAGGATTTATTTATAGCCTCTAGATTAGAAGGGGGGAGGGGGGGGAGTGAAAGATGGATGGAGGGGAGACATGTTTCAGTTTTTGTGTATTTCTCTGTCAACTTATATGACGGATGAAGGAATATCAAATCAAGAAAAAGAAGTGAAGTGTCTCTGAGAGGTCAGACTTCTGTTTACCAGCCAACAGAGCTGTTCTGTGCAGCTGTCTGCTTATATTCACGCTACTGTGTGAATATAAGCAGACACACACGCTTTATCTGCACTATGAGACTAACATTAAGTGGAGAAAAAATTTCTTTCCGTTTACTGTGCACTTTACAATGCAGAAATAACGTTTTAAAACCAGACATCCTCTCTGTCAGACACTGTTTTGATGCGGGGCCAGACTTGTGTTTAATTTCCCTAATGGTCCCCGGTTTGACACAGAGGATTCTACTCCAAGTTTCTGCTGAGCTAAACAAGCCGTCCGTGAAATCAATGGCTGCAAAGCTCCGCAATCAAAGTCTCGACCTGTCAAAAGATGGTTTCTCTCCACAGTCGAAGGCGTCCTGCAGCTCTTTGACCAGGTTGGCTTGTCCCGGGAGCCTGAACAGGCCCTCCTCCCGGAGCCCCCACTGCCGGATGAAGTCCACGCACTGCTCCACCAGCATGGGGGCCAGCTTGTTCCCGAATCTGCGCTCGTACCGCACCGTCTCCTCCAGCTTCTGCCCGAAAATCCCTGAAACGCAGGACAAAGCCTTTAAAAGAATCCGGTGACGGCGCTTAATGCTCATTCCAGAAGGAATCTGGTCTCCGTAATGAAAAATAAGTGTAAAAACCTCCTTTCATGGCAGAGCGAAAGAAGCCCAAACCCACAGAATCGGTCAGGGCCCTGCCTCCAGAGCAGGTGTCTAATGCCACAGCCCTCAGAATATAGTTTGACTCTCTGTTTACTTATCCAGACACATGATTTTGAAACTAGAATATTAATAAAAGAGCCCAACATGAACATTAGAAGACAGCAGTTAAATCAGTTTAAACAGGATTTACATTTTCTAATAGAAAAACACATTCACACACACACACACGTGGGCTTGTTCTGATTGTTAGAATTTGGCTTTAAGTACTCACTTTAGCATTGCATGGTATCACATGATCTATGTAAATTACGGATTGTTTTATTCCTTATATAACTATACTTTGTGTTGAAGTCTCTGGCTGTGTCCACAGACTCTCCTTTCTCTCTTTTTCTTTCTCTGTTGCATTAGATCCACCTTTAGGTTAACACACACACACCATTTGTTACCACATTCCTGTCATCTGCATGAATTAGGACCTGGCCTGTTCATGCCCAGAGGTAACTGGCCAATAGGACTTGGTTGTGTCCAGTCCTCCTTTGAGGAGGCGGATGGAGCCCAGGAGATAATGCCCATCACCCAGATCTCAGGGCTCTTTGCCCACTGAGACCCAGAGAGAGGTTTTTGTCTTTTAGAGCCCAGCTGATATACTTAACCGTGTCCAATAAATGTCATTTTTATAAGTTTGATCTACTCTGGTTTGCTCTCAGGTTTCCAACTAAAGAATCGGGTTAACGTTATCATCGAGTCCGACTTCCTACAGAGCCCTTCTCGCCTTTAGTCGGGGGCCGTTTGCCGTTTGCAGCTTCCTCATGTGGACGCAGCACATGGAGGATTAAGGCCGCCTGCCCCACAGATTGAGATCTGCATACTTTTCCGGTCTCCAGGTCCAGACAGAGGCTCAGACACATTCATGCACGTGGAACAGCAAAGTACCGCCCCGGTTGAACCCACAAGGTGCATTTCAGCCGAAATAAACACTCCGTTACAGGGTGCTGCGTCCAGTCAGAGTTTAAAGGGTCAGCAGTGCTTTAAAACAGCTGAGTTAGAGGCATGTGGACGGTTTTAAGGTAAAAACGTGTTGCCATACTCACCTCTCCTGAAAAATAACACATCTGAAGAGCTTCTGGAAGAGCTGCCCATTTATACATCTTTGATAAGATAACACTCCAGAAGTGTAGAGCGTAAAGTGCCAGTATATTAGCATCTTTCAAATAACAAGGACAGGAACCATAAGCAGCGAAGCTGAATTTAAAGGTAGATCTTGTTAGAACTTGAGGCGAGTCAGCTTTATGGTTCTCCAAACAAAACAGAGCAGAAGTCACATAAAGCTAAAAAACTCACTAAAAACAGAAACTTTCAATGGCGTAAAATGCAAAAAAAGGCTAACAATTTGTTCCATGTGAGGCAGCAAAAGAACAAATAAGAAAAAAGGACCTCCAAACACTCTGCGAGCAATCAGTTATTTACTTCGACACTCTGGGGTTCGTATAATTTCTCCTTTGTTTTTTTAGACTCGTTCTCTGATTTATTTAGCTTTGATTAGTTAATGTTCTTCAAAGAGAGAATTAGGTTTTAACTTTTTTTAATTCAACAATGCTTCTTTCTATATTAAAATCCATTGTATTAAAAATCATTGAACATATTCAATATTTTCCAAACCAACATAAAGTGCGTCACTAACAACACTTATGCTAAATCCCAGTCACTGCATCATAAATATTTGCTATCTGCTGATGTAGATTTCATATACAAAAAGAGAGGAAACAGCACTGGATGGAAGCCCAGAATCTCCATTTCTTAAAGTCTCATCGACCATCCTTCAGATCTGCCTGTGGACTCTTTCAATAGTTGGTAAATAAACTTTGACAGGAGCTCGATGCTGAATCTCTTTGGCCCACAAAACCTTTAAGCTCCACGAGAGAAACCCGGCAGAGCTGAAGAAAAACAGACGAAGCAGATTTCCGAAGCTCATTTTCAACATCTTAGCTCCATTTGTCAAAGCAGGCTTAAAACCACTGAGGTCAACAGAATCTAAAGGGGCTTTTAGTTGGATGAACGCTGAAATGACCATCAGAGAAATCTCACTTTTAAGCTATGCAACTTATTGTAAAGGCTGGAAATGTGATTTTGAAGTTAAGGAAGATCTTTCCTATATCACAAAGGGTTTATCAAGTTGATAAAGCCTCCGTATTTAAAAACAAGTGGCATTTACCATGGAACAAATCTCCGAGGATCCAGACGGAGAACCCACAGCTGCACATGTCAGAGTCTGCTCTCCTCTTCAGGCTGCTCAGCACGACAACAAAAAGCATCCGGCGTAACGTGGCTTTGTTTTGGAGCTCCCCGGGTTTCGTTTCATGACTCAGTCGGTCTGTGCTGCCTCTGCAAAACCCCGATGTGTGTGCTCTCTGCACGTTTAAGGGGGGGGGGCGCCATGGAGCCACCGGTCCGGCCGCGTCTTTGACAAAACGGCTCGTCCTTTTGAAGAGCAGTCAACTGCGATAGACGTCAAACTCGCTGCTCTGAAAACAAGAGGGGGCCGGCCCCGGCCGGGTCCATTCACTTTGTCAATGAAAGCTGCCCGCCTGGGCACAAACGCCCCGCACAAAGTAGGCCACTGTCTGCCAGCACGGGCAATGATAACAAACCCAGACGGCACAGCTGGAGCCCCAGTAATCAGCACACCGATTCCACCAGAGTCAGGAACATCTTCATTAAGAGAATTACAGCGTCGGTTTATTTGATGGCTTATCTCATGTCATTTGACGGTTTATCATTTCCTGGTTTACCACACGTAACAGACCTAAACATACATTGAGTTGTTTTTTTTAAATCTGTTATTATGAACTCAAATAGGCAGAACAGAGAAGACAGACTTAAGGGAAGACTGTGATATAAAACATAAGTGGAGATTAAAGCCCAGTTGTTTTAGATGTCATGGTTTCAACCAGCAACATGTGGCATGACGCCATGTGGACGTAGCCGTTTGTTTTTCGTTATTTGCACCCATAAATCATGCAAAAAGTCATTATCAGTACCACCTGAAAAAATAGGATTTTAAGTTTTAAATAAATGTTCTAATTTGTATGATCTGGGGCCTCATTATGGTTCAAATGAGACCAGATTTGTCTCAATACAAATATGAGACAAGATATGAGTTTTTTTTTCCATATAAAGCCTGTAATATAGGATCAAAATATCGCATGTCAAACTGTTAAAATTCTTGTGTTTTTTTTGTCTGTTATGCCTAAGAAAAAAGGCAGGAATTCAAGCTAACTGAAGTTAGTATAAGGAATCTGTATAATCTGCTCATCCGATGCAAATTTCTGCAAACTCAGCAGGAACTTTGTGTCTTTACTGAATTCAGACTTATGGGCCAGCCATTTCTAGGATATTAACAACAATATTAGGACCATTTTTATTGGAGTTTTATGTGTTGTTGGAATACTGTGAACCTTAAAAGTCTTTCTAATTTGTAACTGGTTGACAATCATTGGTGCTTAGTATGAAATGAAGGGATGTTATCTGGTGGTTTATCCTAAAGCTCTGCTATCAAAAGCCATGAAGTTGTCTTTTAAATCAAAGGCCAACAGAGCCATAAAAGCCGTGCTTTTGTTTATACACACCTCCACCGAAAGGGGCCCAGATGACCCTCCGGATGGTCTTCACCCAATCCTCCATGTCATTCTGGGTGCTGGCCATAAGAAGGTAGGTCTCATGGTTGGCTGTCATTCGCTCTCTGTCTCCGCCTGGAACAAAAAATTACAAGTCATTATTAGAGATGCCAATTTTACTCCGTCTGGTTTGAAGTAGCCAGCGTCTCTCAAGGCAAAATCCTAACAGAAACAAACAGAAATAATCAGCCGTTTATATAGTTCAGCCAACATTTATGAGAGGAAAAATAAGCATTTTCCCCTTTCAGCTCTGATTTGATAAAGAACTCACAATGATCTCAGCAGGTACACAGAAAATACACAGCTCTGCCCCCCCCCCCCCCCCCCCCCCCAACAAACCCCCCTCTCTCTTTTTTCACCCCCCCCCTTTGCTCCATTAAAGGATGGCTGAATACCCCCCAGCCCCCAAAGGGGGGGTTGACCAAAAAGACCGGGGGGGGGGGGGGGGTCTGGACCCGCCTCAAAATGCCAAATCTGGCTACAGCCGTCGCCATGACAGCCAAACCTCCTCCTGCTTCATCCACCAAACGCAACCGAGGGATGCACCTGCTCTATTAAAACAGGAGCTGATCAATTAAATGAAAGACAAGAGGATGGGGGGGGGGGTCAGAGCAACAGCTTAATTATTCATGCCTTTGACCACCAGGCACGCTGCCCCACCGATTGCATCATAGGCCGAGGTCTGCATAAGGACTATTTATATCCCTGAACACAACACCACGGAGCAGCGGAGGAATCCGGTTTAATCCCAACGATTTCAAACCGCAGAAGTCCAACAGCGAACACGTCGACGAGGTTCAGAGGCACGGATCAGAACCAGGGGAGGCCTGAGCTATCGGGTGCTAAACGCAGACAGATTCATGCTTCCTGTCAGTCTGGACGAGCCCTCATTAGCAGCCGGCAGATGTGAGTTCCCCCCCTCGCAGCGTTCAACAAGTCCAAAATGTTTACAGGCCGTCACAAACACGCGTTCACAGCCGTGAACCAGCAGGAAATACCAGGAATGCATTTGAAGCTGTCATCTGTGGAAAAAAAGAGAGGTTTAAGAGGAGAAAAGCCCTGTGGCCCAGTTTTAGTTTACCTTTTATTACAGGTATGTTTACACGGGAGCGCATCCCATAATGGAGCAGCTGGTTTGTACAATATTATTAACTGGTTTGTGGGTGGATACATAAGGTTAACTTCATAATTTCTCAGGATGGTGTCTTCTTCAATTAAAAATCTATTTTCAAAACCATTTGCCAGGTTATCTTGAAGCAAAAATGATCAAATGAAAAACATAATGAGCTGAAGTCATAAACAACTCAGTGCACAATCTGGTTCATCTCTGTGGGCATTTCTTTTATGGTTAACTACACTTTTTTTCAAACTGATGAGAACAAATTGATCCACTGGACAGGAATCTTGATTAGTAAAATATGAAGAAAAACATCAGGTATGAGAAGCTACAGAGCTGCTTCAATAGCAATAAAACAGAAGCTCTCCCCTTTAATTCACTCAGCACTACAAGGCCAAAGACATGATGAAGGTGCCTGTTTTACGCCCCCAATCCAACTCTCACAACTCTCCATTTAAAACACCAAGTTTCCAATCCAGACGCACTCCTCTGCCCGAGTGGGGCTCTTACTCTTAATGCTCTAATAAGTCTAATGCGCTCTTGTTTCTACCCCGGTGATTAGTCACTACCAGGCATTGATTGTGCCCAGAAGTCCCATCAATTACACCTTGAATTAAGCAGACAGGGCTGGTTTAAGCGGGTCCCTGGCTGCCCGTCGCGTTACGGACGCGCGGAAAACACCGGATCAGAAATGATCCCGCTGCGTAAAAACAAAACCCCGACAGCTCCGGCTCACCTTCCCACTGCAGGAACCACGTCCACGCTCGCATTTAAAGCCGCCACGCACGGCGGAGTGTCCGTAATGCCTCTAACCAGCGACGGAATGAGGAGGGAGAGGGGATTGGAGCGCCTCCTCCCCTCAGTCCGGCATCCGGACGCAGCGTCCAGCCTTTCGGTCAAACGCAGGCCATCCGGGCTCTGAACACATTCAGTCCCTCAGATGTCCGAACAGGATCAGAGAAGGGAAAAGGGAGAGCATGTGGACGCGTTCGCGTGCCCGTGCGGAGTGGGCTCACCGTGTCAGACAGACGGGAACCACAGGGCCGTGCGCAGCTTTTTCTGGGTCCGGAGCAAGTGCCCCGTGTTTGCTGCTCCACCAGCAGCAGCTTCCCAAAAACATAGAGGGGAAAAAAGACTTATATCCCACATCTGGGATGTTGGCTGAGTGTGGTGTGAAACAGCTGGATTGTGTAGTTTTTGATCAAAAGAGAATTCTAAAGTTTTGGAGGATTGTTTTTCACATTTTGGGGTAGTGCATGGCACCAGTCCTTAAAGTTATTGGGTCAAAGTTAACATATTCTCATTCGCCATAAAGGAAAAGGTAGTGTGGGTCATTTGTCCTTTAAATATATGCAATAAATCAATATATTATTATAGGAATGTAATGAATTAGTGTTGGTCATTTTCTCATAAACTTTGGACAAACGGACAATAACTGAAAAAGCCATTTGAAAAATTGAAGCACATTAAAAATTAATGTTATCACAGTCTTATTTCCGAAACAAAAAGGGAAAACAACCTATCGGGAGACCCCAGAACGTAATGGGTGAGGAGGCTGCCATCTTGAATCAAGAGCAAGTCTTTCCTAAAGGGAAGGAGGTAATTTAGCACCTCAGAGAAGACCAGAATTGTGTCCAAAATCAATTGCAGCAATCTGATTAGCAACATTTTTTGAGGTTCAAGGCTTATCAACACAGAAACATTGCCTGATAGAGAGGACGTCCATTCCCTGCTGGTATATGTAGATATGGCATTTCCACCACAAAACCGCGTCCTGTGACTTTTGACTCACCATGAACTGCAAATTTAGCCATAGACAACTACCTAAAACACAAAAAGCCTCATATAAACAACGAATCAATCTGATTCATACCATACACCATGAATTACATTTAAAACTTTTATATTCAGCTAACATCTACTCAATATAGTTTTTTTACCAAATTACATTTGCTAAAATCAAATTCCTGCTTTATGTGTTCCATGAACTGCCATTTTCTCCTCACTGGGTCAAAGCAGCTTTACTCCAGCTGCTGATGGAGGTCTGTGGAGGACAATAATTGCTTGTAGAGGCCCGTTTGTCATCTAAAAGGTTCCTCATCAGGCTCCGTTGGTGCTGATTGTCATGCAGAGTTAACGGCTGGTTAGTGGCCACCGGCTTCCTTCACCACACTTGAACTCAATTAGCCCCTCCGTAACATGCATGGACGGAGAACGTTCCCCTAAAAACAAAATGATGCTTGTGAAGCCGTTAAACAAGCGTGCAAAAGGACTTTGCGGCATACCAGGAGCATTACAGCACGCTCCCGTTCCTCCTGCCACTTCCTGTTGATGCTCCGCTCTCCCTCGCCATAAATGAGTTCCCCGTATGGTTAATAAAGTGGAAAGGGGGGGGTGAGAGCGTTTAAAGCATCTTGTCAGTACATTTAAACAACACAAAACTGATTTAGATACTGTTTTAAACCACTGTTAAACAGATAACCTCCTACAGGTGAACTCTTCCATTTTACAGTGGACAAGACAGAATATAAGTTCATGTGGACAAAACTCAACATCGGCCCTCTAAACAAAATGACTGGCTGCTATTTGAGCTCGTTACAGGCTGTGGTTAAGCTGCCTACACGCATTAGCCTCCTCCACACCATTCCCAGACTGCCCACGACGTGACTGGCACTGGGCCTTAAAAGGTTCGGTCACCGCTTACAGCAGTGAGCCTAATCTGTGCGGGGACACGCGGGAAGAGTCGGTCCAGGGTGTTTCCCCCAAAGCGTGACTGGACACGAAGAGACAGCCGTGACTACTGTCACCATTCCCCCGATTCGCCATGCTTCTTTACACGTTTCCTCAGTTTTTTCTGAGGGAATGAACAGTTGTCAGTTTTACAGATGCCTGCAGACGTGCACGTCAGAGGACAGTTTGCATTAAAGGAGCCTCAAAGATTAAGATTCCCTATTCGTATGAAGGTTAAAGAGGATCAAAATTCTCTTGTTCAAAGGAAATTCTGCTTCTTTGATGCAAACAAAAGCAAAAAAAAATCATTATGGTGGCACAATGAGACAAAAAGGATGAATCCATTCAATCACAAAGCTGGATAAAGCAAAGGAAAATAAAAAAAAATTCACTCAAAGGAGTTCACACGTGAGCGGCTTGATGTAAATTAACCAAATGAGTGACACCTATATCCACCCCGTCGTGCTGGTGTCACCGTGGGAGACGGGCCGAGAGCAACAACTGCTCATTCCAGCTGTGACCGGTGGGTTTAACGAGCGGACAGCTGCAGGGTAGACTTTAACCAGCGGCCCGAAACAGGTGGGAGACAACAAAGGGTCCCACTGTGCTCCCAAATACCTGGAGCCCTCACAGGTTTCGCTCAAAGCCATTCCAGTGGAAGAGCGGGGAAACCACACAGGGAGCCCCCATTCTGGAGCAGGCCGCCGGACAACAGGATCCCAGAGCGGATGGTTTGGTTTTGGGCGCATAAACAACATTAATCTCAGGCCACCTGCTCTGGCTGCTCCCCGTCTGCAGCTACAGGCAGGAAGCGCTCAGAGATTCCACCCGTGTGAAGGAGTTTCTGCAAAACCAGGGAAAGGTTACGAGCCGGTCTATCTGACTGACAGTGGAAAGTTTCCAAAATGCTGTGCAAATGACAACACTGTGCATATCTGCTGTGATTAAGTGAAAAAAAAAAAACCTGATGCACAGAAGATGAAGATGAAGTATCTGTCCTTCACATTCATGCATGAACATGAGCCAATCAGGCGAGTCAAAAGCTGCGTTTTACATTAAACCAAAAGATGCTGATGCAACACATCTGAAACCTGCCGGCAGCTAATAGAAAAAAACCTCTCAGATTCAGCCACAAACGAGACCTTTCCCTTCTTTTTATTCCAAAGTTTCTGAGGATTTCTGGCAGATATCCCACAAAAGAGATATAAAGACTTGTTTCGAGTCCACTGAGATTTTCCATAAAATCGAAATTTGTCCTAAAAAACCTTTAATTTGTATAAAAACTTGAAAATGTACTTTTGCCCTTTATGCTTAGGATGAAAGATCTGATTGAAGGAGGGCAGCATGAGGTTTGAGAGGCAAAAGCATGCATATTTCCTCTGGTTTGTGTAGTCAGGTTTGATATGAACGTCTGTACTGGAGTAGTGTGAATCAAAACACACGACAGGGTCGAAAGCTGTGAGATAATACAGGCACAAGGTTTAATCTGATGTCTCTCACAGGGGCTTGGGCCGGCTGTTTCTCCGTCCTGTTTCCTGAATCATAATGAAGAGCAGATTGTCAGCATGTTGCTGCTATTTACGACCACTCAGCGGATAATGTTTTGACTGAGAGGAACACTGTTTAAATCACGGAGAGACTGTTTCTCTCTATCCTCAGAGGAGTTTGAAATCCAACGAGGTGACAAATTCATCTCACTCGAAGAGTCTAGCCACAAAAATGTGGTTTACACACCGCCTCTGCTTCATACTAAAAAGGAAGTGTGTGTCAAAAGGGTTAAAAATGACCTAAAACGTTTGTATTGGGTAAGTGGAAGACTTCTTGTACAAATGCTAACTTCTTCCAGACTTTGATTGTGTTTCGTGCCAAGTGGAGGAAACAGCTGCTGCTGGCCCAGAAAACAATGCAGACGGTGGAACTACCTCGTTTAGCTCGAAAAGACAGAAATACGAGTTGCTTTCTTCCAGTCTGCTCTTGTGTTTGCTGAGCCGGAGATTAAGAAGTGCATCCATTATTGTCTGTTCTGGGTTTTTTTTGTCTGCGCGAGTCCTCTGGTTTGCTGCAAGTACGGGCAGGTCCAGGTTCAATAATGTGTCTAATGATAGTCTTCTGAGAAGTCCGAGCATCACGAACACCCCAAACACAACAGGAAGTCGCTCGCAGGCAGCAGCCAATAGCAAAATGTGCATTCACATAGACTCAGAAAAGAAAATCCCAATTTTTCTGGAGGGGGATTCAAGCACCTTTTCACATTCTCTGGTCAGGATTTCCATCACCAGATGATCTAATGCCACTGCGAAAGCAGCTGTTACAACACGGCCAGTGATGAAAATCTGAAGATAAACCTCCATTGTGGTGTGTAAATGAGACGGTGTGCTTATCAAAAGGCTGAAAATGCTCAAACAGTGTTACCTTGACGTGAGGATAGCATACCAGATAATCCATACTGAGGTAAACTATGAACCGCCTGCTGAACCACCTCCATGCCTCGGCCTGGCTCACACTCTCAGTTCCAGAAAAAGAGAAGCTTCCTGAGTCCCGGTCAGACCTGAGGATAGGAGGTCTCTGCAGTGGAGGAGCTGCTCTGCTGGTTTCTGGGTGAGTGAGTGAGTGAGTGAGTGAGTGAGTGAGTGAGTGAGTGAGTGAGCACAGCTGAGAGGGTGTGAAAGAGAAAGGGAGGGGGCAGGGATGGGATGGGAGGTTTAAAGAGGGGGTTGGTGAATATTCACACACACTTAAGCACTGTATGGGAACAATGGGCTGATCTTTCTGAAGGCTTTGGACTAAATACACCACAGTTTGACTAAGGGCATAACCCCCCTAAGAAAACATGGGATATCCCATTAAAGCCACAAGCTTTTGTTTTTTTTAACATCTTCCACAAACATAAATACAAGCAAATAAATGACCCAATAATGGCCTTTAGATTGAGTCATCAAATGCAAATTTGGAGTTTAAAACTTTCAAACTTACTTTTTCTTTGAAACTTCAGCTTTTGAAGTACATATTTTTCTTGTGTATCTTGCACACCAAGTGTAACTGTTATTTAGTTAGAAATGTTTAGTAAGAGAGCTGAAATCAGTGTCCTCTAAGTGATCGAAATAACAAAAATAAATTATTTAACAGCTTTCCATCCTCTTCTTTGTAAAAGTGATTGA